TTATTCTATTGAAACTAGCAAATAATAATGTTCAGACAATCCCTTATGCCTGGCAAATGCAAACTCTTCAGTGTTTCCAACTTCCAATCTGAGCTCTAAAGCAAACATGCCTCCTACCACTAATCCCCCTCTAGAGTGTAATAGCTCAACAACACAGAATGAACGAGAATACTAGGGGAAGGAGGGGAGAGAGAGAGAGAGAGGGAGATAGGGAGAGAGAGTGTGTGTATGTTCCCCTACCAAGAGGGAGGGTTGACCTCTGTACAGAGTGACCCAAGAGAGATAAGGGAGAGATGGAAGAGCTAGGGGAGAGATCTACTACACATAGCATACCGTGCATGTATTATACTCTGTTGTTTCAACGCTATGTATCTACACTGGACCATAGGCCTACACAAACACAACGGCACTGTTGCATAATATATATATTCACCTAATTTGCAATTAAGAGAAAGTTCTGAAAGATAGATTGTAAATCAGGTAACTAACTATACCATATTAGATTTCCCTTTTCCCTCCCTCTTTTCATCACCCTCAAACACAGGGAACACTCGGGCCTGTGCCACGAATATAACGAGAAATATGATTGGCCATTCCAACATCTGTGTTTAAAGTTACACAACCACGCGTACGTTATGACAAAACCATGCGTACGTTATGACATAACCATACGTACGTTATGACAGAACCACGCGTACGTTATGACGGAACCACGCGTACGTTATGACTATATTATGCACACTTAATAACAATACCACGCGTGCGTAATGACAGAACCACGCGTATGACATGACAGAACCACGCGTATGACATGACAGAACCACGCGTACGCTATGTCAAATCCATGCGTACGTTAAGAATTACATAGAAGTATAATGGAAAATGACCATGCGTACGTTCTGTCAGAACCACGCGTACGTTATGATGGACCCACGCGTACGTTATGTCGGAACCACGCGTACGCTCTGACATGCACGCGTACGGTCTAGGCACACGTAATGAAGGCGTTGGCCAACCATAGTAGAGTAGCACTCTGTGCTCGCTTTGTTTAAAGGGACGGTTATTTTTTTTTTCCTTTCAGATGGTCTCTCCTCTCTAAAGTGCGTATTTTATGAGAGAAAATAGATGGAGAGGAAGATTGGATAGGATGGAATATACTTTGTTTAAACTGCCCAAACTAAAATCTCAAGCCAAACGATACACGTGAACATAAAGGTCCACCCCGCCCGCTCCCCCCCCCCCCCCCCTCCCCCTTCTCCGGGGTCGGAGGGGCCCCTTGCGTGTTCCCAAAATCTCCGGTAAAGGGGTACTTCAATAAACTGATAGAATGAATAGGCATTTTCTGAATGTAAAGTTATCCCCAGGACCTGTATACGTTTGTATTTTGTTGCACCTTTTACGACTCTGCAATCTCTCTCTCTCTCTCTTTCTCTCTCTCTCTACCTATCTACCTCTCTCTCTCTCTCTCTCTCTCTCTCTTTCTCTCTCTCTCTCTCTCTCTCTCTCCCTCTCTCTCTCTCTCCCTCTTTCGCCTTTCTCTCTTTCTGTGTGTATCTCTCTCTCTCACACACACACACACACACACACACACACACAGTTTTTTTTTTACACACATTACATACACTATTTCTCTCTCTCCCTCCCTCCCTCTCACTCTGAATATGATTTCTGTCACTCTACAGTGTGAGTCCCAAAAAAAAATTACACCTAGAAAGTTGCTAATTATTTTAAAAATCATCTATGAACAGTAAATTATTATACATCTTGTGAAAGAGGGTTTTATCCCATATCATTTGGTATCATTTTGTGTATGGTATGTGTTCACGCTTGGATGAACAGGAGAGACTGCAAAAATCGACTTGCGCCAAAGTAATAAATGTGATGTTTAAAACAAATATATTACGTATATTGATACTAATAAGAGTAATGTTATGCTGTTGAGTAGTAACACACAAGGTAACAATAAATTTAGTCTGAAGGTGCATATTAATAACGAAATATTAGAACAAGTAAGAAGTATCAGATATTTAGGGATTGAAATTGATGATGGATTATTTTGGGATAACCACATTAAATCTCTTAGCAAATCGTTAAGTTATAAGATTTTTACTTTAAGAAAGCTCAGTAAATTTCTAAGCTCTTCCATATTGAATAAAAGATAAAAATGTACCATACAGCCAATCTTTGATTATTATTGTTCCGTATGGGGGACCTTTTCTTTTATTACAAAACAGAAACTATTTTAAGACTACAGAAAAGAGTTGCACGAATAGGGAACTTTGATTATGCTTTTAATAGCTTGAATATTAAAATGGCAATCCACTAGACGTGATTGTTTTAGCATGTATTATGTACAACTTCATTCATGGAAAAGACCGGTACGATTGTGCAATGAAGTGGAAATGGTTTTCAACACTAGACTTGCCAATTAGTTGAATGTTGTTTTACCCAAGCCTACCCTTGAATGTTTTAGGAATTGTTTTAGATACGCTGGTGGTAAAATTTGGAATAGTTTACCTTTTGCTCTTCAAAATGCTAAATCTATCGAAGCCTTTAAACGTATGTAAAAAGGACACATTGTTTAAAACTGTGTGATACAATGTCTCTTCATATACTGCTCTTGACATGGCTTATTTCTCTCTATCTCTCCCTTTCCCTCTCCCTCTCTCCTTCCCTTTTTCTTCTTATCTTCCCTTCTCTACTTTCTACCAATTGCCTTATATCTTCTCTCCTCTTCTAATATCTTTGGTGATATTTTAATGCAATTTTGAATGCTGAAATTATGCCTTCAGGAAAACCCCAAAACTAGGTCGGGGGATTGGCCGCCCCTGTCCATGATTACTACCAACATGAGTTCAAATAAGCACAAGCGAGTTGGCATGAGCTGATGCCAAATGAAGGGCAAAAAAAAGAGTTGTGAAGTGGCCCCGGCTACCATTCATTAAAAATGTGAGTATACTCTCTAAAAAAAATCGAGTTATCACGGACGTCACTCCTCTGGAGAGTGAAAATGTAGTGAAAATAGGGTGAACATTCACTCTTTTCTTCTTAGAGAGCACTCTAAAATCAATCAATTTTCACTCCTAAACAAGTGATCACGGACGTCACTCCCAAGAAAGTGAAAATAGAGTGAAAATAATTTTCACTCTTTTTTTAAAGAGAGTATAGCTTCTAAAGACATCCAAAATATTGTGCCTTTTCAAATTAGGCTCACCAAAGAGTGATAAAATTTGTAGCGCAGGGGCTGTTTTTAACGTTTAACTTCGAATCCACGGATCGGGATTTTATGCGACCGGCCCCCTCTATTCAATAACGTCTCCCAAGCCTTCTGGAATGGCCCCCAATCTTCCTATTACAATTCTGCTTTTCTCAGTTGTAGGGGCCGGGCACGGTTTTATCAAGAGTGCTTTTACGTGAACCTCTTAAAAATATATATATATATTATGCTGGATTCCGACACAGATTGCACAACTTAAAATGATAGGATGATCATCCCCAATACGCTTGCAGTTCACATGTGCATTCCTTCCTCCTGATCCATTGTGACCGTCACTGTCATTTACGCATACCCCCCCCCCCCCGCCCCCCCCCCCCCCCCCCCCCCCCCCCCCCCCCCCCCCCCATCCTCCCCCGGTTTTACCCTTATTCGTCATTACTGTCACTTAGTCAGTTAGTGCCATTCCTTGTCTTTCTGGCTTTCTCACCCGGGTTTTTTATTTTTTTAAAGCTTATATTGCCTTTATTCAGATTTTCATAATTATACAAAATGATGAATAGGAACCCAATTGTTCTTACAGTATAAACATACATGTAGTACATTGTCTCATACATTATAAACACAGACATATTTTTTTATCCAAAGTATCCAAACTAATATAGTACACATTCAATCAAGTGCACAAACTGTGCTACAATTCCTTTAAAAAGGAAAAGGTGACGGTAATATTTCATATTAATATTTTTGGATACAACATTGTAAAAAGGAACAATTTTTACAACATATCTTCTAGTTCTTTGCAAATTAATTAGTTCAATATAAATTAAGCAATCTGAACAAAGATTTTCTTATATAAACAAAAATTATAAGGTGAAGGTGCTGCTTCATAACCCATGATAACAAAATTTGTTATATTTACATATAATGATATGGTGCATTTTTTTTTTAACTCCTAGATTTCAGTATAACTATATGAGGGTCTTGTATCAGTGGAGGTCTGTAACTATACCGTTATTAAAAAAATAAAAATTTAAAATTTAAAAAACAAGCAAACAACGATAATAGATAAGTGCCCGGATCGATGAGAAAGTGAGGGAGTGAACAGGAATTACAATATATATACAATCAGTTCCCCTGCCTTAAGGGGTAAAATATTCCCATTTTTGATAATGTATTGGCAGTTTGTCCTTTAATTTTGCTTTTCCATGTTCAACTTTTTTTTAGTTCTCTACAGCATTACATATTTCTTTACTAATTGGGAACTTTCCATTTTTACGATTACTGTAAATCATATATTTGACCAAAATCAATACATGATTTAACAATATATTATCTTTCATATTTTTTCTGAAACCAAGCAACACATCAATCCATTGCATATTAAGAAACTGAAACATCTTTAAATTGTTTCCCACCTCATTCCATATTCTGGACCCTTCAGAACATTCAAAGAAGATATGACGATATAGGTTTCTACTTCTTTTCTACAAAAGGAACAAAAACATAAAGAAAAAAAAACAACATAAATTTGACAAAAAGAAACAATTTATCATTACAAAATATGATGTTATGTAAAAGTTTATACTGAAATCCCGGACTGAAATTCCCTTAACTTCCCATCTAGATTTAAAGCTATTACCTCTGGATGTTTAAAAGAAAATGCATCTTGTATTATAGGAATAAAAATGTTATAGAGCATTTTGGAAGAGACAGACTCAAAAGAATACACTTCTCTTCTAAGTATTTGGTGTAGCGCCAGCTTCCGTTATAAGCCTTACAGTGTAAATACTCAACACACGTGTGAATTCTGATTGCTGCTGAAGTACAGTGACAAATAGAGACATCAAGATGCCGAAATCAAGACGTGACAAAAGAAGTGAGTGTGATGAAGTCTTTAATTTGATTCTACCGTTCGTACGGGTAGTGAATGTGATGTGTTTCATGTACAGCGAACGGTTTTACAGTGAATGGTTTGCAAGTAATATGCATTAGTTTTTACCAGTGTCCCACATACCGACAATGACGTGTGCCTTTTTTTCTTCATAGTTATTAGATCATTTTCCACTAAATTATTGATGGGACATACAGCTTTTGTTTCTTTCTACCCATATGAACAATTACAAATGCATAAAAATATTTGGTAGTACATTCACAGAATATCTACAGGGGGCCAGGGGCAGGCCCTTAAAATCTAGAGTAAAGGGGGGGGGGGGGGGGTTAAGGTAAGGGTTTTCGGCCGGTGGCAGTTTTCGGCCGGTCCGTTGGATGCATGGTAAAATCCCTTTAAAATACATTGCATAACAGCATATCACATATCACACACATACAACAACATGGCAGAGTCACTGAAGAACCACATTTGCAATGGAAAATATATCCTTAAATATCACATTTTAGCGATGTAATCGGCGGTCCCCCTACCCAAATCTGAAAAATTGAGTATCTTACGCGTGTCGGTAAGGAACATGGGTACCATAAAATGAGCTGTATTTCAAGTATTTTTCCAATTTAGAGCCTGATTTTGTGTGAGTCGCAAGCTCAAAAGTATCTCATAGCATGTATTAAATCAATGCAGCCGGATACCGCAGCGCACACACGAGCACACACACTAATTCAGATTCCAATTTCTGATCACTGCAGAGGTAGTTTTCGGCGTGGCGAGCTCCGTCGTGGGATACCTGCTCCGGCCACAAACTTGTGCTATCTATAGATCAGTGTGGGAACGCACGGCGCGTGCGCTTGCTTCCTATTGACTTTGTACATGCGGTCGAAAACTGCCTCGCTAGGCCGAAAACTACCTCCAAAACATCGAAAATAGAAATGAATATTGTCACGGCAATTCATGATTTTTTTTTCTGGCAATTTTTTTTTGTTTAAATAATAGTAGTATTTGCTTCATGTTTTGAACAAGAAATGATAATAAATAGGAAGTAAAGAGTTAAAAAAAAATAAGATTTTGTTAAAGGTACTATGTCCCTTTTGCAGCCAACCTCAAATGCTGTAGAACTTTGCAGGAATTATGAATATGTCATGTATGTCCTATCTGTGAAATTTAAACGTTAGCAGTGTCCTCATATTCAAATTATGCCAGGGAAACCGTTTACTTGCTAGACTTCACTGTCAGACACTATTGAGTGACTGACTGGCTTTTTTTCTTCTTTGGTAATAACATACATGAAAAGAGTTGTAAAGGGTACATGAGCATTTGTCTACATCAATAACCTACTTCTTGTGATGGCCAAGATTAAACTGATTGAATCTTTGTGCAGCATAAAACGTATGACCATTCGGTACAATTGTCTGAAAATCAAGACTATTACTTTTGGGCTCTATAGCCCTAAAGTCGATTTGACAACTAATAGTCGTTATTTTCCCACTTGAAGACATTTTCAAGCCCCACCTTTTTTAGGGAAGTTCTAAATTAGTATTATCTTTCAAATGCAGTTGGAATTTAACTTTTTCATTTTTTGGGCCTGCAAATGGGACATAGTCCCTTTAACCCATATCCTGCCATGAGTGCGCTAGCGCGCTATTGTTATAGTGCTTTGTATACGCGTGCGCGCTATACATTGACTGCCACGTTCATGCTAGCGAGCCACCGTTTGACTGCTTTGTGCACGCAAGGGCGCATATGTAATAACAGTCATTGTTCATGCCCATTGCACCGTGCTGAGTACTTTTGCTGCGCTATTGAAAGTACCATCGCGTGCCTTAGATTATCGGCTTTCGATTACGCGTCTTCGTCTACAACAGTCATATTGGATTTTCTCGAGTAATTTAGCGATTTGTTTTTGATATCATATATCATCATCATGCCTCCCCATCGCAAGAAACGGGCTTGCTTCATTGACCCGGATCTGGTGCGAGAGATGGTGATGGCTGATTCAGACTCAGAAGCCCCGCAAGAGACTGACAGTGACCATGGTGACAGTGATAGTGACTCTGATTTTGACTCTGGTCCCACACGTAAGGTTCCGCGTACAGAAGCGCCTGGCGTATCCGATTTCGAATTTGCACCCGATGCAGCTGTTCCTGAGCCTGAGTTAGACCGTGACATCGATGAGGACTTCATGCACGATTCCGACAGTGAAGTTGAGGATGAAGTAGAGCATCAAGCTAACCATAACCCTGAACCTGCACGCCATGAAGTGGACGATGACTGGATCAGCATGGGAGAGGAAGAGTGGGCACCCTCCTGGCAGAATCCTTACAATGAAGAGCCCAAACTTCTGTTCGACGCAAACCACTTCAAACCGGTTGATTTTTTCTACCGGTTTTTCCCGGAGGATTTGTTCACCATGCTCGCTGAGCAGACAAACCTCTATGCAAGACAGACGATTCAGAGACTGGGTGTTCTCCAACAACATTCCAGACTAAACAAGTGGACAGAAACAACAGCAGACGAGATGAAGGTATTCACCGCACTGCAGATCTCCATGGGGCTTGTCACCAAACCAGCGATACATATGTATTGGGAGGAGAACTGGCTGATCGGAACACCGGGTTTCAGCAAAGTGATGAGTCGTAACAGGTATGAGCCTTTTTCAAATGAATGTCTTATTTATTTCGACATTTGTTTTCGTTATTTTACACAAAACGTTCTGATGAAAACAGGTAGACTAGTATAAGCTCAGATGAATTTGCCAACATACGCGTAAACGAATATCTTTTAGCCTACACTATTTGAGTTCAGAAGAACAGTTATAACTCACATATTTTTATAAGCATATTATACAAATGAAAGCACAGATGGCAACAATGAAGCTTCATACTGTGCCGGCAAAAAAAAAAAAATAATAGATCTAGAATCAGAAAAACGTTAAGGAAAAAAAATATTCAGTCATTTTTTTGTTTAGATGTAATAGGTCTAGTCTACAAACATTCCTAAACAAAGCTATACATTTTCTTTTGACTGTTTTTTTTTTGACAGAAAACCTGGAATAAATCGTTCCATAATGTTATTCGTACACAAATTTGTACATGATTCAGAAATATTCAGAAATATTTTATCATTACAATTATAATCTAGAGTCAATTTTTTTCTGGATGGGCTAATAATTCAGAAATATCATCATGTGCAAGTGAAGTCATTTTTATAGTTTTACCTGCCCACACGGGTTACTTTACTTGCCTGTTACAACTATGTTGTGAAAATACTGATTGAATTCATTCTCCTTCTTGGCAATTTTGTTTCTTCTTTTCTAAATGAGATTGAGATACTGTACACAAGAAATTATATTTTCTCTCGTAGATGAATAATAATGTTATTTGCCAAATCAGGCAACCAAACTAGACCGTTTATTAATTTTACTTGCCCGCAACGTAAATTTACTTGCCTGAGAAAACAATGAAAATAAAAATTAAATTAGTTTTTCTTCTTGTCAAATTCATATTTTTTTCTAGATGAGTTGAAAAACATAATAGGCCTACTGTAGATTATATTTCTCTCGTAGGTGAACAAAAATGTTATTTTCCCGAATTGAAAACACAAAACTAGACCATTCTAAAATCATAATTCTTCATCTTATTAAATTTGGATCCAGAACTATGATATTTTTTTACTAGTTCAAAATCTTCAAATAGTTATTTTAAAATTTAAATTATATTGTTTTTTTGTTGTTGTTCATATAATAAATAGCATTTTTTTTTAAATAAATCTTTAGATATTAGTTTTATAACCTATTTTCTGTTTCTTCCCGTTTCTTCTTCAGGTACCAGCTGATCAACTCCCTCCTGCACTTCGTGGACAACGAAGATAGAGTACCCAGAGGTCAACCAGGTCACAACGTCCTCTTCAAGGTCCAGCCCATCATCGACCGTGTGCGTCCAACGTACCAGGAGGCCTTTGCACCAGGTCGTGACCTCTCCGTCGACGAGAGCTTGGCTGCTTTCAAGGGAAGGCTCTCCTTCAAGCAGTACCTTCCAATGAAGCCGACAAAGTGGGGCATCAAGTTCTGGGTGGTAACAGATTCATCATGTGGTTTCTGTCTTGATTGGAGCGTGTACACCGGCAAGAACGACCAGCAGGACCGAGGAGGAGATGGACTGTCAACACGTGTGGTCAAAGACCTGACTCGGCGATATGCAGGTTCCGGACGGCACGTCTACATGGACAACTTTTATAGTTCACCGGAGCTATACGAGTTTCTTCATAACGAGAATCTGGGTGCATGCGGTACAGTCCGGTTGAGCAGGAGAGGAATTCCACCCATCATGCGAGAGGCGTCCCAGCAAGCGCGGAAGGGTGAGCCACCAAAGTTCTTCCGGAAAGGTGACCTGATGGGTGTCACGTGGCACGACACCAAGAGAGTGAGCGTCCTGTCAACGATCCATGGCACCGGCTGCACCCACAAGGAGATTCGTGACAAGCAGTCAGAGACTGGTCGGAGGCAGGTGCAAAAGCCCATAGCGGTGGAAGGCTACAACAAGGCCATGGGGGGAGTCGATCTGCTGGACCAAAGGATGGCCTACTACAAGTACCCCACAAGCACTTGAAGTGGTACATGGTGGTGTACCACTTCATGGTGGAAGTCGCTCTGGTCAATGCTTTCTTAGCGTATCGAATCGCCACGAAGGACATGAAGAGAAGTACCCGCAGTTTCCGTTTGAGCGTCATCAACAGCCTGCTGGACAGTTACGCAAAGACCTCCACCGCTGGGAGACCCAAGGCCCTGCGGGAGTCTACCCGTGACAATCGCCTGGCACCGAGGCTCACTGGACAGCATTTCGCCGAACAGAGGCCTAGACAAGGGAAAAATCGGTATTACCCTGACTGCGTGGTCTGCTCGAAGAAGGGCAGGAATGGCAGAGTTACTACTTCATACTTCTGCGAAACCTGCAAGCTGCCAATGTGTCTAACCCCTTGCTTCAAACGTTACCACAGCCCATAGATACATGTACAAGCTCAGCATAAAGTGTTCACATAAAGTTGATTTTGTAATGTTTATTTATATGATTTTACAATGTATTGGAATCATATTACACCATGACTTTGCAAATGTCATTTCCTGCTTTAGTGCATTATTATGTTTTGTGCAATTTAATTCATACGTTCAACTCAGGGTGATCTAAATTTGTAACAATTTATTTTCTGTATAATGTATTCACTTCAGATAATAATAATAATAATAATAATAATAATAATAATAATTGTAGGAAGAGCATAGTAAATTATTATGTTTTGTGCAATTCAATTCATACGTTCAACTCAGGGTGATCTAAATTTGTAACAGTTTATTTTCTGTATGATGTATTCACTTTGGTTTTCACTTCGGACAATAACAATAATAATAATAATAGTAGGAAGAGCAGGGTGCAGTATTTATGAATTTTTACCGTGCAATTATTGGCTGTTGAATCTAGCAGTAATAGTCCTTGATAGCTGTAGAAATTGGAGATACATCCATGGTAAAACAAAGAAAATTATTGCTGTATCTTATTTGTTTATGTATAGGTTCTTCTTTAGGGGTATATATTTATTCTTGAAACTAACTTCTTGCCAGAATGCAATCGTCTTTTTCGACATTTCAATACAATTTGTATTTATTTACCAATATTCATATTTTATCTTGTTTACTACTATGCAATAATCAGATAAGCACAAACATTCATTATTGTACATGTACATACGATCATATGCAGATGAGGATTGATTCATACTACTTTGTGTAATGACTTCTCTGATTACTGGTAGCTGAATTTGAATTGTTGTGTTATTTCAAAGATAATTTGGGATTTTGTTAGAAGAGCCCATAAGTTCACAATGTTTATGTTTGTTTTAGCCAATTTTTTTCATGTTATTCATTGAAGCTTTGAAATACATTATGCTGATGGACACTTGCCACACTGACATGAACCGAGCAGTGAATAATTGTATTCATTTTTAGTGTCAAGTTTGCTACTGCATGGTAACTATAATGCCTGGATGTACACAAGTCTGGGTGACAGTTTTATATATATGTTTGCTTTGTTTTATGAGAATACTACCTGCTATTATTTCAAATACAAAACAAAGTTCAATATGATACAAATATGGTGTCTATTACTGTCATTTGTTTGATAATTTTCCATTTGATTTGAGGGTATGTTGAAGAGCTGAGAAAAGTGAAGTGGTGTTCAGGGAAAGGGAGTCGTGGGCAAGAGAAATGTGAAAGAGTAGAATACCGTAGACATTCAGAGAGTAAGAGGAAGGAGGAAATAAATCTGCAGATGAGAGAGGATGAAAATGTGAGCAGAATTATGAATACCTAAGTTGAATAAAAGAAATACTAAAGAATTACAAGAGAAAGATGAATGAAAGATACACAGAGAGCAAAAGAGAATGTTGAGAGGAAATAAAAAAATATTGATTCACATACACACACAAAATAAATAAATAAACAAGAGAAAATTGCATCATTGTATACTTTTATTTCGTTTCATATAGGCCTGAGTCAAACCGTTTAACCGACGGTTATCCGACCGCATTCATCAAAACCGTTTAGCATATCTCGCTCCGGTTAACCGTTATTTGCATACATTTTGGAATGTGCTAATAGCCGATGATAAAGATAATCAAAGAAACCGCAGTGTAATGTTACACCCTGGCCTGCCAGCTTTCTGGCAGCAGTAATCCCCATGAATGAATTTGTAAACAATAAAACAACCAGCCCCCTTCTCTCTTTTCTCACCCTCTTTATTCCCTTCTCTCTGCAATGCGTTCATCGCTCATGTACCTTTTCTTATTACTGCACTCTCAGCTCACAACTTTCTAAATGTTTACACATTCGATGGTCAGTTCCTCTCACATCCCTTCTCCCCCGAGTCTCTCTCTCTCTCTCTCTCTCTCTCAATATTAATATCCATCCCTTGCCGACTCGCCCCCTAAAATAATGTTCATATACATGTATAAATAAAATACAAAAATATTGATAACAATAATAATTGAAGTTTTAGAAATATCAATCAACAAAGTCTTGGATATTGTGAGTAATTTAAGTTTTTGATCATTCTTCAATTCAGCCGATTAACACAGCCACCCTTTCTATCTAGTCTCACTTGTCTTTACTGCTTCACTCTCTTATGTCCCTGCCTGGTCCATGCAGGTCCATGCAGGGACATGCAGGGACATGCTAGCCCATGCATGCTCTCTCAGTCACACACACATGTACACACAAACCTCCGGCGCCCAAATACACTGTACATACACACAGATGGAAAGCTCATGCTTGTCACATGCACACATGTGGGCGTGGCTTCTTGACCTCCCACTGAACTGGGTACGGTGAAAGCACGTGCGGTCACCAACCTGTAATTTATGCTGGTATCAAACTCCACCCACATAGCTAGAGAACCTTCCTGATTGGTCACTAACTTGGATCAGCTCATTGCAGGGTGTGTCTTGGGTGTGTGTGATACACACTTCCACATAATTTCATATGGCAATGATACATGCAGGGAGCTCTCTCCCTGACCATGTGCAAACATTGCATTGCAAAGGCATATATAAACACGTCACAGATCAGCTAAGGCGTAAAGATTCTAAAAAAGAATGAAACGCCGATAATACCAAACAACAACAACAACAACAGCTATCTTCACAGAGTAACTTTGCAAGGTTAATCATGATATCAAATTCAGATGAGGAATAATAAGACATGTTTTATGTTGTTTATTACTGGTCTCTGTTTATCAGGATGACCCAATTTGTGCCATAGTCCGGGGCTGGGAATGCTCAGCCCAACAGTCTGAAGACCAGCAGGGTTCCGAGCTACAGCACCATTACAAATACTGTATTTTCACTTTTTCAGATTATTATCAAACCGTTAAACGAAACCGCCCGTATACTTTTAACGGTTAACGTTTAGCACAAAAACCGTAATGACTCAGGCTTAGTTTCATATCTTCAGAGTTCTCTCATTCTATCTTGCTATTATACATGTAGCACATAAACGAGGCATAATATAGAAATAAACCTTACAAATGGTGTCCATGCAACAGGAGGGTACTTTGTTGTGTGCACTGAACATAATGTACTACACACATAAACCATATGAGACGAAAGATTGGTTTGACAACTCACTGATAAAGCTTATTTACCTCACCAAAATGACAAATTCATGAAATGATATTGGTATCAATGGAAAGAAGGTGAAATTTCCTTCAACTTTCATGTACAATGTTTCTTTATACAACATACGGATGAGAAGTTATAGTGGATCAAACATAGTCAAGATAAAAAAAACACGCACTTGAACCGACCCTAAAATTAACTTGGCACACAGAGGATTTGTGGCTGGCACAATAGGGATTAGCACTGTGGCACTGGGTGCATTGTATGGGTGGCAGCTTAAGAGTTAAGAAGAGAGATAAAGACTTATAGTCGTACTCATAGAGAGGAAGTTATGGTGCGGGAGAACAAAGTAGATAGCAAGTGGATTATAGACACATCAAGAATAGACTATTCTTCTCCAACATGAGAAGCAATACTGATGCCTATATATTTTCCTTTCCAAGAACAATTCTACTGGAATCTACTTCTTCCTGACATGATCTGAAAGTTCAGTAGATACCTTCAAAGCCAGACTCCTGAATGCAATCCAAAGTGGCAATAGTAATACAATTCCTCCATTTAATTGCAAAGTTATGGGACTTAATTCCAAAAATACATCAAATGCATCGTTATACATGAAAACACTTTCTTTAACCCTTACTGTACTGGGGGGGGGGGGGGGGGGGCCTGGGAGGCCCCCCCCCCCTCGACATTTTCAGAGATTGCGCCGCAACCGCTTGAAATTTTGAATTGTCGTTTCATGACTTTTTTCCCTCAAGTCTTACGCACGTTTTGATACCATTTTCGTCACAATCGGATATACCTGTGAGGTGTTACATAACAATTAGTATGCGCATGTCATCAAAAATATGCTATAATTGCATATATTCATGTACAAGTAGAAATGTGAATACAGGTTTAGATGTATTCCTTCCTAAGTGGGTGATATGAATTGATATCGAATTGCTTTTATATGTTTCTCAAAGTAACTTGATGTATTCCAGAACAAAAGAATACATAAGAAATAAAAACAATAGATATAATAAGAAATAAAAAAACAATAAAATACATAAGAAAATAAATATTTGAAAATCGCATCAAATTTGCATAAATTATCATTATTAATTACATCCAAATAAATATTTTGTGTTAGAAAAGAAGTTTCATATGAATAATGAGTTTCAACGTTCAAAAAGTGAAGTTTGACACGTTTTCTGTAAAATGCATAGAATTAGCATTTTGCATAATTAATTAGGCTATAACGACAAAAATTTGCATATTCGCAAAAAACTAATTACACCATCTTGTTCGTTACGTAAATATCTACAAACATGCAAATTTTCGTGTTCATCGGACATCCGACGGCCGAGATCATAGGGGGGGGCCTCCCAGGCCCCCCCCCCCCCCCCCCCCCAGTCAGGAGGTGCTCAAAATAGCCCAGTACAGTAAGGGTTAACACTAAACGTTCTAATTGGTCAACAATATTCCGCTTTTTAGGCTCAGGACTGGAAAGAGAGCAGGACAGATTCAGATACAGTGATGTCAAGTTGACTAATATTTGCAACCATGTCAAAAAAGTAATCAAGTTAATTGTGAAGTTAACATTCTATACCTTTTTGTTTCAGTTTCACTGACAAGAACAAAGAAGAAGGGCCTTGAAACCAAGCAAAATCTTATTGAAGAGGTGAGGCATCTTATATTACTTTGATTTTGGTGTTGTCTTCCAAGGATTAACAATCTTGAGTAAATTACTATAGTCTAAATTATAAGTATTTTTGTGTAAGAAAAAAAATAGAGTAGAGTGTGTGGTACCAGGTATTAATAACATGTATGATCTTATTGGCTTCATGGTAACTAACAAAATGGTTTATTTATAACTCTTTATTTGAAACAAAAAAGAGGGGAAATCGGGGAGGACTGGTAAGATGTACATACATGTATGTTACTAATCCTGATTGATAATTTTGTTTACATTTTTTGACATCGTCAAATTAAGAGTATAGTATTCATGATAACCATATTTTTAAGTGCTCATTGTCATAGTCTTAAGTTCAGATTCATTACTCTCTTCTCTAACAAGCCAGCGAACTCACACAAACCTTCTTGTCTAGGATCTAGTAAGGAAAGGAGATAACTCCAAGACATTTGATTAATGATCACATCACAGAGACTGAAATTTTTGATTCATTGTATAAAGTCAAGAGTCTGATTTTGTTCATAAGATCACATAAGTCTGGAATCAAGAGGAGACTGTCATCATGGTAAAAATCTAATCTCAAAGGCTACTTATAAATCAAACTTGGGAATGTTGGGATTATAAAGATTTTATGTCTTACAACCGATTTGCATATATTTTAGTTGACTTTTTCATTACATTGACCATTTCACAGTTTGGGGGAGGCAGATCGCCGTTGAGGCCCCATCTGTATTATCACTGTTGACTACATGTACATTCGCTCAGTTAGGAGATTCTTAAGTTTTAAATATAATTGTTGGATGATTTTGCTAACAACTCTCGTAGCAGCATGACCATTGAAACTTACTTGTACTTATTTGCACAGGTTCGAGACAGTGTGGACAAGTATGCCAGGATAGTGATATTCTCTGTAGAGAATATGAGGAACAGCAAGATTAAAGATGTCAGGAATAGTTGGAAGCACAGCAGGTAAGCCAGTGTATATTATCTTTCTACCACCCCCCCCCCCAATCAGACTTTTGGGATTCATTGTACGGCTATGCAATGAGTGATTTCAAGTTGGGTGTTAGTGTTAGTGTTAAGAGCAGTCAAGAGCTCTTAAATTGAGCTAAAATTTGCTGATGAAATTAAGAGCCCGATACCGATATCAACATCGATAGCTTAACACCACTGTGACGTCATCGCGATCGCCACACAGACTTGATTTTACGACGATGATTTAAAAATAGTACATAAAATCTCAAGATATCATGAAAAGCACAGAATAGATTTACACTTATTTCTCTGGTCTTATAAAACAACTCATTTTACACAAAAGAATACATGAATCACATAGTAAAGGACCTTCACATATTTGTATTTGATTGTCATATAATAAATTAGCGTCGTTCGTGTGTTGACTGTTGTGCGGGTACAACACTAACACTGAACTGGAAATGAACTTTTGCTTAACCCTATCTTAACTGGGCTATTTCAGACCAGGTTTTTACTGGGGGGGGGGGGGGGTCAATTTGACCCCCCCCCCTAAGATCTCGGCCGTTTCACCGCCGATCGCCGCGAAAATTTGCATGCATGTCAAGTGAAGTGTAAAGAATACTATGGTAATTTCAAATTTTTGACAAATTCACTCATTTGCATATTTATGCTAATTTATGCAAATAAGGTCATAAAATTCACATTTCTGCCCATAAATCATAGATTATTCATATTTAAGTATTCTTTTTCACTACATATATTTATTAGACCATTTGGAATAATAATACAACACAAAAAATTGGAAGAGCCAGGTTATTCCTTATGTTATCTCTTGTTTTGATAATTTCTTATGTATTTCATTGTTTTTTTAACTTATGTATTTTATTGTTTTTGTTGTTTTATTTCATTTATAATTACAATTCAACTATTTTGACCCCAAAACAAACATCTAAACTTTAAACAAGACTCAATAACCAATGTTTTATCTATTTTTAGGAAAAATGACTTTTACATATGTTTTGTACACAAATCATGAAAATGAGCGATTTTCGGGCTGACATGCAAAGACAAAAGGTCACGTGACCTTGTAACCGTAGGTCCGATTTTCGAAAAAATTGTTTTAAAAGATGCGTAAGACTCGAAAGTAAAAAGTCGGGAAAGGAAAATTTTATATCTGCCGCGGTTTCGGAGTAGTCGCAAAATTTCTACAGGAGGGGGGGTCAAATTGACCCCCCCCCCCCCCCAGTTAACATAGGGTTAATCCTTAGGGGCTAGTGTTAGTGAATAGGACATTCCTACATAAAATATTAACACCAGCCACACAGATCGGTTTAGCAGACGACAATTTTGCCAAATCGTTAACACTAGCTACCGGAAGTTGACAATATTCAGAGGTCAAAGCTTTAACACCAGCTGATTTCCATTTCGGTGTTTAGGGCTTGTGATAGTGTTTATTAAACACTAACACCAGCCCTAAACACCCAACTTGAAATCACTCAATGTAGTGTACAAGAATCATTTACACTTTGAGCTAGAGTTAATTTTTTGGATAGCAAAACCTGTTATTAGGCAGCATTTTGAACGAACACTTGATAAAGAATCAGGGTTGCATTCTTGTCTGAACGTTGTATTATATTAAAATCACATAAATTTGCAGGGCTTATCGTGGACCGGCCCTGGTATTTGGCCTGCTGTCATGTCAACTATCATCTTCCAAACTAGTTCTTTATAACACATGTCGAGACTAGAGATAAAGTTTGGACTAGGATCTATATTCCATAGGATTATTTTTAATTGTCAAAATATAGTCTGTGCCTGCAAGCTATGCCAATGTTTACAACTATTATCTTCCAAACTAGTTCTTTTATAACACGTTTCTTCATATGATGTCGAGACTAGAGATAACGTTTGGACTAGGATCTATATTCTATAGGATTATTTTTAAATGTTAAAATATAGTCTATGCCTGCAAGCTATGCTAATGTTTAACGTCATCTTTCCTTTTTCTTTCTTTACCTGTCAGATTTTTCTTTGGCAAGAACAAGGTGATGATGGTTGCACTTGGAAAGAGTGCTGAAGAAGAGTACAGGGACAACCTCCACAGAGTGAGCAAGCGATTGATGGGCAACGTGGGGCTACTCTTCACAAACAAAACAAAAGATGAGGTAGTCAAGTAAGTCATGTTGATCAAGTTTATTCTCCTTCTTGTTTTTAATTTTTGGTTTAACCACTGTCATTCAAGAATTCAGGTACAGTATTTGACATTTTTACATTGTCTTTGAATTTAAGTAATTGAGTAATGGGACCAAAAATAAAGGATCAGTGAAAGTATTTTCATTTGATAATGGATAAATTATTTTTGATTTTCATTGAAAATGATAGGTGCTTTATTTGTGCGACACAAATATCCTTTCATTCATAGCATCGTAATAGGTAGAGGAGAACAAACTGGAGATTGATGGAAGTTAGAAAATATAATTTCAACAGCAAGAATGAATCATTAACTGATAATCTCCTTGTATTGAAATGAGTAGCCATTCTGTTGAATATAAGTCCATCTAACATCTCACTGTTATGTTTGTTTTAAAACCTAAAATGGCACGTAATAGCATCGGCCAATATAAGATTTTTTAATTTTCATGCATATATATAGTTCACAACCAAATTATTCATAATCCTTGTAAATTTGATGATTTTGAGTTTTTTTGTAACTCAAGAATAAAAGGTGGACTGGTTAAATTAGTGCCTTTGCTGAATACTCGTAGATTTGATATGTAATAGGGACAAATCAATTTATTGCACGCTTCAAAAATGACAAAACTTGGAAACGGTAGGCATAATTTACTTGTTATTTAACTGATTTGGTCTTTCTGTTTTCTATGGAAGGTATTTTGAGGGATTTGTTGAAGCAGACTATGCCAGGTCAGGAAACGTCGCCACGGAAACCGTTGTATTACCTGAAGGTCCTTTAGAAGACTTCCAACACTCCATGGAGCCACAGCTCAGGCAGTTAAATCTTCCTACATCGCTCAAGAAAGGTTAGTCCCATGCTTGGCAAATGCTGCTACTTTACTTCTACTACATCATTTTGTTGTTCTCATCTTTCCCGTTTGCATCCTCCACTGTTGTCCTCTTTTCTTACACTCATCCTCTTTCCTCCCTAATTCCTTCAATGTCTGCTCTATCGCTCAATTTCTGCTCTATCACTCTATTCCTTCTCTATCGCTCAGTTTCTGTATCACTCAATTTCTGCTCTATCACTCAATTATTTCTGTTTCACTCAATTCCTGCTCTATCACCCAATTTCTGCTCTACTAGTCAGTTTGTGCTCTATTACTCAAGTTTTTCTCTATTCGTTTGTGCCCTATCAATCAATGTCTGCCCTATCTCTCTGTTATTTCTCTATCACTCAATCCCTTCTCTATTGGTCAGTTTGTGCTCTATCACTATATTCATTTCTCCTTTGTTTTGCTCCACCCTACTGCTATCCTCTTTCTCAGTCTGCCTTGTACCATTCTTAATGTTTCTTTGCAAATGTATTCTATATCATTTCCGTTTTAAATTAACACTTTTGTATTTTAGTGGCCAGTTGGAAATGCTGCTTGCTTGGTCAATAGTAGTTACAGAACTGTAGCGGTAATCATTCTGGCAACATGCCTTTCTGTGAACATACATGTACATATATGCTAATGGTAGACATATTAAACTTTAGAAATTGGGTGTTCCAAAGAAAACTGTCCCCTCTTTTTGGCACTGTACTTAACTAACAGGACAGAAAAGAAAGCATTTGTGTATCTCTGTAATAAGAATAATTTTGTCAGTGAATGTGTAAAGTTTTAATTTCCTTTAAATTGATTAGTCCATGTAACAAACTTGTTTCTTCTTCTCTGTTTCTCTTTTAAAGGCATAATACATCTAACCAGTGAACATACGGTGTGTAAAGTAGGAGATACTCTCACCCCAGAACAAGCAAGAATACTGGTAAGTAGATATATGATCAGCACACAAAAGCCCTGGGACCCGTTTCACAAAGCCTTTTTTCAATGACAAGTGACAAAAATCAGTGACAAGTCTGTTGATAACCAATCAGAAAAAAGGATTTCAGTAGCTTATAACAACAACTGTCATTTGTTACTGATGACAAGTTTTGTGAAGCGCCCCCCTGGTTATACTGAGGCGATTTTCTTCCTGAACTATGATAATCAGGGGGCATTTCTAGAAACCACCATAAGTCTAAATTCTTAGTCTAACAGATTATCTGGACATGCAGCAACCGAAAGGTATTGCAAAATTTTTGAAATGTTCGCAAATGCTGCTAATCGAGATGCAACTTCACCACTGCGGAGAAAAGGGGATAGCCACTAGCGTCAGTGGGCTTTTGATATGATAGTACTGGAAGTTAAACTGTGCAGTGTTGATATATCCTTTCATATTGATTTGTGGATTCTCTGTCTTCGGATTGCAAACAACAATATGATATTTCAATTCTATATGCTCTGAAGTGTGATATATTTTTTACTGAAAAGGACCCACCAGTGTAAAGAAATTGTAATGGAGTGTAAAAGTGACATTCATTGCCAGGTTGCCATATAAATTTACTTTGATATTATTATCATTATTGTAACTTCCTTTCAAACTTTGACTCAGTTTGTATGTGGTCTTTAAATTTACACAAGTTTTTCCATGTTTAAATAGGGAACAGGTTTGCACTGTCTTTGTTTATTATTGTCACTCTTTGCACTCTTGCCAGTGTACAAAGTGTTCCACTGGTGTAGGTTAAGTTTTTTTTAGAGTTACTCTAAAGATATTTGTACATTGACATTAAAGACCAGTTGTAAAATAAAGTTGGTTTACAAAGACATCATTAAAGATAAACTTGAGTTCTAGTAAAAAAAGATTATGAATTCTCACAGAATCAAACAAAACTTACACTGAATGTTCAAAATTAGAAATAAATGTCATTTGTCTAACAATTTTGGTAGAAAATGTATACTGGCTGAGTAATGAGCATAGAAAGATAAGGAAATCAAGGTAAGTAGGCCCAACACCATTGGTGTAGTCCCATATATCATCTCTCTGTGTACAGTGCTTGTTACTTTACCAAGACTGGGCCAAATTTATTATGATTTTGATGCCTCCAGAACCTTGCAGTACACAAATGCTTACACGCTACATGATCAACTTTTTCTGATCCATTCCACACCTTTTCTTTCACATTGCAATTGCATTACCAGAACTCAACTTCATCTTTAAATGTTGTATCACTCCTTTTACTCTATTTGTCTGTCAGCTGTTATAATTCATTCATATTTTCCATTCCTTTGTCTCTGTATAAACCAGAAACTATTTGCCAAGCCCATGGCTGAGTTCAAACTCAAATTAGCCGCCTCCTGGTCGAACAACGGAGCCTTTGAGGTCTTCGACGATGCTCCGGATTCCAAATCAAGAAGCGATGGTGATGATGATGAGGATGTTGAAAAAGACTAGTTTTTTAAAAATGGCTCAACATTTTTTGGAGAAAGAGACTTTTAAAGGAAGACTGAATTACAAAATGACTGGACATTGTGAAGTAAAGACTCTTCTGTGCTGATCTCTTGTGAAAGACGGATATTGAGAGAGAGAGAAAGAGACATGGAGGTAAACACCATGATAAAGGATAGGATCTACAAATGTAGATCTTTGACCCTACAGGTATTTAAGGGAGTTGTAGCCCCCCCCCCCCCCCTACCAATAATTCTTCTTCTACTGTTAATATTCAAAGGCCTATGTAACCTATCCATAATCCCAATGATCTGTTTGTAGATTACTAACGTAGTTGTGTATTTCAGGCACTAAGGATTAACTTTGTACCCTATGCACTGTATGCTGTATGCATCCTAGGAAATGGATTGAGGCCATGGGAGAGGAACATTAGCTGAGGAGTCCACATGTCACCTCAACTTGTACGATAGCAAAAGGGCATAGCTTACAAAAGTGGCCTTGAGTTTTTGTCATTTTGAAATGCATATTTTAGCAAGTGAAATTGCTATGTTAGCCTTTCAGTTACCAAATTATTGACATGCTGTTCATAAACATATGGCAAAGGAGATTTATACTAGAGTTGCTTAATGTTATTGTTTTTTTTTTTTATTGGGGGGGGGTATTAAATCTTTGATATCAGATATGATAGTACTTTATTACACTTGTGTTGTAATAGCTCACATTATTTTGTGTTGTAATTTTATTGACCTGAAGAAGAACTTTATTATGACCCTACTCCTTTGAAACAAACCTTAAATCTGAGATATTGCTACTGTCTTTTTATGTACGGGTAAGCACCAAAAAGGGGCGTTTGGACATGAGGCATGAAACAACCATTAACTCTTGATATGCCACACAAGTAATCACCCTGTGCCACATTGTATTTACCATGGGATAGATATAGCAAAGCATTCAAGATTATGTAACCAACTGTTTCCAATGAAAGTTTAAATCTATACCGGTGTTTAAAAATTGTCTTGGAGCTAATCAAGGCTGGAAATGAGTATTTTTGCAAAGTCATTGTATTGTACAAAGCAATACTTCAATCAATTGGTGTGTTTTGTTTTTGTGCCAAATTGCATGTGTGGCAAACGTGCGTCCATGCAGAGAGGCAAAGAAAGCAAGCTAAGTGTTACAAAAGTGCAGCGTAAAAATAAAATTGAGTGAATGTAGTTAGCATTACATTTCTGTATTGTCCAGTAAGTACATGAAGGTCATTGTTGTTTGCAATCGGGCAGCCCCAAGGCATTAGGTCTGGTTGTGTCCCATGTGTTTACAGTATATCATGGCATACTGAATCTATTTCCTGTAACAATGAAAGTATCATTATCCTTCATTTCTTCTGGCCCAAGCTATTAGTAGGGCCATCAAATGAAATGATACCATTATCATAAATAATAAAATCTTAATGTGATCAATGTATATAACAACATACCATGGAATAAACCGGTTTTTAACTAATTTATGTTAATTTATTAATGTTTCTCTCTTGAACCCTTGGTTACCAAATGTTTGATTGCTATGCTAAATGACATCTCCATGGATGGAATTCACATGCGTACATAAGTTGTTGCTATGACAGGCAAGCATGTGGCAAGTTTTACAGTCAAGGGAAATTTTGTTTAAAAATTGTGCATAACATTATTTTTAATTTTTTACCCCAAAATATTGCCTATTTTCATTCATTTACCTGACAAGATTTTCATTGCCAGGGTTATCAAGGGCCGACTCTTGCATCATGTCTAGATGGGGGTTTTTAGTCTGAACTCTGAAGTGAACTTTAAGTACTGATCTTATCACCATGTTTTTATGATTAATTACCCTTAATCAATGATCAGATCTACCGTACTCAATTTTATAAGCTGTGAGGGTGGTAACACATCTTACTGCCCAGCAACGGCTATTTCTTATTGTTTTTACACCTTGTAAAATTTTTATGATAGCTTTCAATGGAAAATTTATTGAATCTCTTTATTTCGATAAAGTCCTGGCTCAAAGTCCAGTATCCTATATTTGCAGGTTGCATGCTTTCAGAATGTTTGAATACCCTTTTCTTTTCAAATTCATACAATTTGAATTCAAAGTGTATTTTATTTGGAATTCCGAACGGAATAACTTGGTAATTAATTGACATAAAAAAGGTTACCGGTATATCTAACATGTCTCGTTATCATCTATAAGAAAGTCCAAAAGCATGATCTTTTTATGTAAAGAAATATACTATATAGTAGTGTTTTAAAAGGGAGTGTAAGTATACTCCTCCCCCCCCCCCCTAAAAAATAAACAAAATTTTTAGAAAAATATGATACATAATTATAATATGTGAATTTATCTTCTTTTCATTGTTATGTTTTTTTCTGTCTTTTTTTTTCTTCGTGTTACATTATGCTTGTATAACTGCAGTGAGGTGAATGAAAGAAAACATGGAAATAGACAATAGTAAGAGAAGAAATGAAAATAGAAGATGTGAAATCAAAGAGAGGGATTGGTAATTAAGTAGGTAATGTGATTGACAGAAAGAAAGAGAGAGAGAAAAGGAATGAGAGGAAGAGAGAGAGAGAGAGAGAGAGAGAGAGAGAAGAAACTTTGGTTTCAGAGAGGGCTTGGCCAAGTCAGTGGCGTACGCAGGATTTTTTCAAGGGGGGGGGGGGGGGGGTTTAAAATCGGACACTTTTTTTTTTTTTGGTCTCGAAAATTGAAAATTTGACATTTTGTTCCGTTGGGGGGGGGGAGGGTAAGCCCACCTTACTTAGGTCAGCCATTGGCTTTTTTTTTTTTATATAATTAAAAAATAAAAAAAAAAAAAAAATCCAAAGGGGGGAGTGGGTTTCCCGTTTCCCAAAAAACATACACAAAACATAAAAACATTAAAAAAACTCAAGGGGGGGTTAACCACCCCCCCCCCCCCCAACCCTGCGTACGCGCCTGGGCCAAGTACAGTGTAATGTTAATGAGAGAAGGAGGGAGGGGTAGAGAGAGAGAGAGAGAGAGGGGAAGAGCAAGCAAGAAAAAGAGGGGAGAATTGTGGGTTTTATAGAGGTCTCGGCCAAGCACCGTGTAATGTGAATGAGAGAAGGAAGGAGGATGGGATAGAGAGAGGGCAGAGAGCGAGTAAACGAAGAAGAGAGACAAGAAAAAAGAGGGTGAGAAACTTGGGTTTCAGCATGGACCTTGTTCCATGGAATGAAAGAGAGGGAAGAGAGCGCGAGCAAAAGAAGAGAGGAAAAAGAGGGGAGAAGGGGGAGAAACAGGTTACAGTAAGGGCTTGCTCAAGTACCTTGTAATGTGAATGAAAGAGAGAGAAAAGGGAAACATACTTGTGCATGTATGCTAGCTAATAAAGTGAAGGCTGATTTCTATGGGATATACAATAGTGTATTGCCTCCATTTTTATTTTTCGAAAGGAGTTGCGCTCGTGCTCTAATTGGTTATTTCATGGCTGACAACTACTTCCATGACCTGTAATCACCATCATCACTTGAATTATCAAGATGGTTACCATGGATATAACCACCAACGGCTTGGCCCTATACGTACACTATTATGTGAAAGTGGGCTAATTGCATGCCCCAGTAAAAAAAATATGCACAGCCACAGTATTTCGTAGGTAAGAGGATCATTAATTTTTGTAAAATTAAAATAGTAAGGTTTCTTGTACACGCAATTTATAGAGACACTCTCTCTCAAAAAACGAAAACTTACTACTGATCGGTCACATTCCAGTTCTTTTGTGGGTCCCAACCTAGCACAAACCAGGGCCATCTTAAAAATAGGAATCGCTAAGGAAATGCCCCCCTCCTGTGACCAAGGTCTGGATACGCCACTAGAGCTGCATACCTGTTTTCTATTGGAAATTTAATAGACACATGCACGATCCCCGCGATTCATCTCTCACAAAATTAACAATCCGTATCACGCGACCTTCCATGCACTAACAACTTATCAAGTTTTCATATCAAATCTAATTTGAACGGGTTGAACAGGGTAAAGCGAAGGCCCGTTTGAAAATTGAGCCGTGGTTAAAAGGATTTAAATATAAAGCTGAGTATCGATCAAATATGATTGCACTGTGAAAAAAAAGTGAAAGGAGATGTCTGAAAGCAATTAGGAAAGGATTACTATTAAGCACATAACAACGGTTTATACTGTGAAGTTTAGGATAGTCAAAATGTAAATAATTGCTGAAATTCACATGCATGAAATCAATTGGGGTGGGGGAGGGGGCCCAATTTGTGAGAAAATATTTAGTGGCGAATCGGCCAGCAGGTGAATACGCGGGGGGGGGGGGGGGATAAGAGCACTTTTTTTTCTTTGGTCAAGTTTGTGAGGAATTATTTTGTGGCTACTCAGCCAGCCAGTAAATAAGCGGGGGTGGGGTGAGGTAAGAACACTTTTCTCTCTTTTTTGTTGGTTGCAACGGGGGGGGGGGCGCTTTACCTTTTTGTTTAAAAGGTACAATTTACGTAACTTTTTTTTTTTTTTACCTTTTTTTTGCTAGGGGGAGGGGGCGCAGGCCTGTCTGACCCCCATTATGGATCCGCGTCTGAGCCTACCTTTAAATCGTTGCTTAAAACCTGTCAAATGGCTGGAAACTTGAGAGCGAAAACTGGTCTGAAAAAATGCTGATAAAAATGATGGCGCTTGAATTTCATAGATCAGTTCGATATTATGAAAAAGAATCATGTGGCCTCGCGCGTGTATATGAAAAGCACCACACGTGAATTTTAACAAAGGAGAGAAAAGGGAAAAGGTTGGAATAAAGGATATTGTCCTTGGAGAGCAATCCGAAATAACGTCGATATTTCATTACTTTTAATTTAAACATTAAGAATATGCATGCGTGGAAGGTGAATAATATCGCGATGATACATTTTGTTTAAATTCCTGGCACATTGGGGGATGTCATGTTTTGTTAATTTTTTTTTTTTCTTACTTAAAGCCGAAATTTGACTCGTAAAACTTTAATTTGAGCAAAGGCTTTTAAAATAGATAATAAAGTAGAAACTTCGGGACTTCCCAGAGAATCGGGAGCATCATTGGAGTAGCTATAGGGGACACGGGGGAAACATGTCCCCCAACGAATGGCGAAAATATAAATAAAATAAGAGAATGAGGAATTAAATAGATTAACTGAGGTGGAGTATGCATACTAAAAAGAAAATGATTTGACAGCCTTTCACACTCGTCATACACACCCTCTTATTTTAAAGCCTTGTTCTCCTACAGTTATCCACCTAAAATTTTCCACCTCTACCTCCCCCCCCCCCCTCTCCCTCTTCGTGAGACGAGATGCACTCTACACCTGTGGAGCATCGCACTGTGTGGTCATTGTTTACTTGGAGTTGAATAATTTTCCCTGCCGTTTCAATTATGATAAGAGCACTTTGTAATTTACAGACCTATTTCATTAATTTTACAGAATAAATCTCACGAGCCCATTTTCATAAGTGTTTCGGAATGTTGAAATGTACATAATACATATAGCACGATTTAAATGAATACAATATTTATTGGGGAAAGAGAGAGAGAGATGGGGGAGGGAGGGAGAGAGAGAGAGCGCGAGCGAGAGACATAGATATAGATATAGAATGAAAATATTCTATCACTTTTTGAAAAATAGCCCAATCTAAATAGATTGCATTTCTGACATTTGATATTTTCAATGGTTTATGCTTACCTAGATAAATCTATATCCGAAAATGTAATACATATCTGGATAAATTTTAAATCTTCAACACCATGATTGATGATGAACTATGTACATTGTATCATTACCCCCCCCCCCCGAAAAAAAAATACATGTTAATGTCAGCCGGCAAACAAACTAGCAAAGCGAACTTCATCTCTGTGCGCAAAATTGGTGCCAACTATTTGCTTTAAGAATTTGAATTTAAAACTACCTTTGAGAATTGATTTGCCCGATTTTAAGGTCAGTTATACATTTAGGCCTTTATAACTATTTACAAGGCACAAAAACAAGAATCTTTGGCGGTTTTATTATCTCCCTGTCTGTGGTGCATCTAGAAATTGTGGCATCCAGGGCAAGAAATAAAATGTACCCCCTTCCCTCACCTTCTGACTAAACTTAACATTAACAAGTCAAACCATGTTGATTTAAATCCAGAATAATGCGCCGATATGCGGCACAGAAAATTATTTTGGATACTCCCAATATGAAATTAATTGTAATACTCAACTTAAGTTCAATATCCCCATATCTTTGTACTCATGCAGGGGTCTATCGGGCTTTATCATGATTATTTTTATGGTCATTCTTCTACAACACGGTCATTACAAGACACTTATTTATAAAAATCCAGGCCTGATAATTACCCAATTTAAACCGATTTCCCGATTTTTGTTTGATTTTTCCCCCAATTTTTTTTCCCTGATTTTTTTTCTTCTAATTTTTCCCCCTGATTTTTTCCCCATTTCCCCCTCCCGATTTTCCCGATTTCCCCTTATTTTTCCACCCCCCCCCGAATTTTCTTACTCACAAGGTGGGGGGGGGGGAATGTTGTTAGATGCCATTTTTTTTTCTCAGGAGGGGGGGGGGGGGGGGCTGGGGGTGGTTGAGGGAAAAAAAATCATTATCATGTCAGGCAACATCGAGCGGAAAAAATGAAAGTGCTATTAGTCGGTTACAGCATAGCAAAACTAGACGTTGAACTACATGACAAAGCTTTAAACACGCCGATACAGCCGTGTTCACCATGCACATGCACATCTATTTTAATGACTGTTTATAAAATGATGCATGGTTCACAAATCACAGTCCGATACATTCAAATAATATCTATTATACACGCAATCAGGGCATGGCCTGTTCACAGGCGCGTACGCAGGATTTTTTTACAAGGGGGGGGGGGGGGGTAGGGGGGAGGGGGGGAGGGGGGGGGTATAACATTTATAAATCGGGCCGAAAATTTCGCAACGACTCAGCCAGCCGCTGAATAAGCGGGGGGGGGGGGGGGGGCGGAGATTAGAGGACACTTTTTTTTTTGGTCCCAACAAAATCGCAACGACTCAGCCGACCGCTGAATAAGGGGGGGGGAGGGGGGAGGGGTGGTAAGAGGACACTTTTTTTTTTTTTGGTCTTGAAATTTGAAATGTGAATATTTTTTTTTAATAATTAAAAAAAAAAAAAAAAAAAATCCAAAGGGGGTAGGGGGGGTTAGGGTTTTTTTTTTTTTTTTTTTTTTTTTGGGGGGGGGGGGGGAGGGGTTTACACACATAAAAATACCAAATGGGGTTTAACCCCCCAACCCCCCCCCCCCCCCCCCCCCCCCCTGTGTACGCGCGAGTAATATATT